TAAAACTAAATCATACTTGGGTTTCTCCTACTGAGAAAATACTACCTATGAAACCAGAATTTATGGGCTATTTTTGAATGAAAGATAAAACCTCACAAATCTTCAACAACTAAAACTTGCTATTAAAGACAGGTTGATTTCTTTTTCTTTTCCCTTACACCTACAGTAAAGTTTTTCAGGCAGGAAGTAGTGGCTCACAAGTGTAATCTTAGCTACTTAGGAGACAGAGATGGAGCAGGTAGATAGTTTGAGGATCGTCTGGACAAAAACAAAATAGAACTTCATGAGACCCCATCTCATGAAATATGTGGGCCTGGTGGTATGCACCTGTCATCCCAGCTATGGTGGAAAGTGTTAATAGGGAAACTGAAATCCAGGCCAGCCCAGGAAAAAAAAATCATTGCCCTATCTCAAAAATGACCAGGTCAAAAATAAAAAGTACTGGAGGCATGACTCAAGCAGTAGAATAACTACCTAGCTAGCATGCATGAAGTTCGTTTCCATCGGCTAGTGTTAAGACCTAGAACATCAAGACATATTTTCTGGAGAATTCATAAGGGGTATGTATATAAGTATGAATGTATGCATGTCAGCATCTATCTATCTATCTATCTATCTACCTATCTATCTATCTATATGCTGTGGGCTTACCTTACAATTCTATCAGCTACCACCAGGCAAAATCCTGGGAGATCAGTGTCTCGGCTACTGTTACAAATCTGACTGAGAACTAAATGATGTTGAAAATATTTAATAACTAGAACAGAGATATTGACCTGTCAGAATTGACTCTAGCTATAAAAACCAGTTCAAGCATGCTAGTATATACTGCTGAACTCTCAGCATGCCCAGGTGGGCCCCAGGGTTTGGCTGGCTGGTCTTGTGCCAGCTGCAGCTATGCAGCTGGACCTTTTACAGCCTCAGAGCCTGCTACAGGGGATTGGTGGCAAGGGACCACCTCTCTGCCTTCTGTGGGTAATCTGTCTTTAGAGAGAAACGAGCACTACTCTTGCTTACTATGTGTGCCAAACACCGTGGAAAGTTTATGGTACAATACACCCCACCATGTTTGTTTAGAGCCTCTCTCTTCCTAGGAGGTCCCGGAGGAGCCATTTGCTCAAGCCGCACAGGCATCCAAAAACTCAAGTTGAGACTTTTGATGTGATTTCCAAGTGAGGTTGAATGTACCGTCTTGAGAGAGATGAGGGCTGATCTGAAAGAGGAGATGTTTACTGTTTTTAAAAATGTGTTATTACCAGACACAAGGCCTCCAGTTCTTAAAAAATTAACACCCCTATCATTTCTTTGGGGATATCATAGTACATATAACAAAATTAAAACATAATTTGATTTTTGTAATGTAGAGAAAGCTTGAGGGAAATTGGGAATGGCCTCACATCTTCCAAACTGAGAAGGCCTGACCCCGGACCTGGCTTTGCCCAAGGTTAACAGGTCTGTTGTTAGAACCTCTTTTCTGACACTGAGGCTCTACCACAAGGTCCCAGTGGTTGTCCTGGAGTTCACTTCCCCAGAGATGAGTTGATTCCTACAAGTCTTCTCCATCTCTCTGTGTTGCCCAAGAAAAGTCTGAAAAGGCCAGATGAGCTTAACTCAAAGGCCCCAATTTAGGCTATACCTGAGAGAATAATGTGGAATAGGGCTTTACTTACACTTATGTCTTACATACTGACTGTCCCTCAGCCTCCAGGAGTAGAAAGGTGCTCACAGCTTTAAAATATCTGAAACCAACCACCTTGTGGTATTCTGAGTAGTGAGTGTGTACTTGTTATGTGCCAGATTGTGGCCTCTTCCAAGTGGTGAAATGTTGCCTTTTCAGTGGACTCTGTAAGTCCAGTTCTGTGGGTTCTGAATTCCAGTTCTAAAACTCTGAATTCATAAAGTTTCAGAACTTTGGATGAGCTATGAAAAGGTGGTCTTCAAGGGAGCAAGGAAGCCAGGCGCTGGTGGCTCACGCCTGTAATCCTAGCTACTCAGGGGGCTGAGATCTGAGGATCTCGGTTCAAAGCCAGCCCGGGCAGGAAAGGCCATGAGACTCTTATCTCCAATAAACCACCAGAAAACCAGAAGTGGTGCTGTGGTTCAAGTGGTGAGCACTAGCCTTGAGCTGAAGAGCTGAGGGACAGCTTTCAGGCCCAGAGTTCAAGCCCCATGACCAACAAAATAAAAGTGTGGTGGGGGTGGGGGGGCCGAGGGTGACACAAGGGAGACTTCACTGAACTCACTCCTTAGTCAATTGTTCAGGTTGGAAAATAAGAGAGAGGAGAAGGAAGGAGCAAACATCAAACCTGATGGCCCTGAGTGAGTTAGTTCCTCATTAGCCTCTGCATCAACTTAAGCCAATTACCAGTCCCCTGACCCCAAGTTCTCAGATGAGAGGTGTTCCAGCCAGGTCATTTCTTTCTTCACCTTCATCTGTCATCAGCTCTAAGTACCAGGATTTGAATTGTGTTTTAGCCTTCTCTACAAGGTCAATTAGAATTTGCACATTAAAGCTGAAGATTTTCCTTTGAGTCATGGCTTCATGAAAATGAGTTAAGTTGCTTAGCCTGTAAATCTTTGGAATAAAGCAACCTCTCTGATGGAGAAGTTGGTCAAAACGTTCCATTGTGTGTAATAGCATTAGGAAGGCTCAGCCTCAGAGCTTAGGGGTTTTGCTTTCTTTTCTTTTCTTTTTCAGTATCCCACATGATTTCATCACCTTGTCTTGGCTTAGCTCACTCATTCCTCTTGGTACACTGATTTTCCTATACAAAAACTTACTACTTTCGAATACAAAAATATAGTGATAATTACTAAGCGTATTTTAAATATTCTGAATTTCTTAGATAAAAGAAAGTATAGATGTTTAAAACACAAAGATTATGAAAGAAGTGTTGGACAAATATTATTTAGAAAAATCTTAACATCTTGGTAAAACAGAGAGAACCCTGGGGCTAATAAATGGAGATGTGAAGTGACTTTTCAAAACCACACATCAGAGGGAATGAAAGGGTTTGGAGATGGAGGAGAACAACGGAAGGGATGACAGTGATCACTACACATTTGACTTGTAACCTGACATGATGAATTGAAACCCCTTTTTACAATTACTTGATGATGATCATAACAAAATTGTAAAAAAAAAAATTCACACATTGACCCTACATGACATACTGACTTATACATTTATGTGTTGAGTTACTTTGGGGAGCCAGGAGAAATCTACAAAAAGTAATAAAAAAAAAAGGGTTTTAAATCTTTGTTTTACTCATAGCATAAATCTAAGCTGTATTCTCCTGAGATTTTTCAGGAATAATTTGTCTGTCTCTCCTACATTATGAAGGTTCTTTAGTGAAGGTTCTTAATTTAAATATATTAAATCTCAGAGAGACTTTCTGGTATTTATTGATCTTTTGGGAGGGATAGTCCTGGGGCTTGAACTCTGGGCCTGGGCACTGTCCCTGAACTGCTTCTGCTCAAGGCTAGCACTCTACCACTTTAGCTACAGCACCACTTCTGGCTTTTTCTGTGATTAATTGGAGATAAGAGTCTCATAGACTTTGCTGTGCAGGCTGGCTTCAAACTGCGATTCTCAGATCTCAGTTTCCTGAGTAGTTAGAATTACAGGCGTGAGCCATCAGTACCCACCTAAATAATTGATTTTTAATAGCTACTAAAATGCCCTTTTTGGACAGTTTCTTTTCATCCTCTTGTGACATGTGACATACTGATTGCATCTAGTTAGCCCTTTCTTTGCATTACCAGTTCAGTTTGCTCTGCCGACTGACTATATTCCGGTTCAGTTTCTCGGGAATTTAGAGAACTCTATATTCTTCCCTCTACTCCCTAGTACAAATTTTTAGGGGAACACTTCAGTTTGACCAGCAAGCTTGGCTCAAATCTGACAGGGGCAGATCTGACAGGCCACATTGAAAGATGGCCACAAGTATCCATTCTTGACTAGAAGTGGTAAGGCAATTAAGATGCTAGGCCGAAAGTAGCATAGAGATGAGTGACAGTATCTCTATTCTTGAGAAGGGGCCACTTCTGGGGCCCCATATGAGGGTTCTTGATGCAATTCCAAAATCAGGCAAACCTACAACCCAGACATCAATGTGCCTGCCAAGGAGAGGCAAATACCTCTGGTAGCATTTAATGTTTCTGATGACTCATGAAATTCCAGTATGGAATTTGGGACTGTAATGTATGATTCAGGAGAAGAAAAGCTGAGGAAAGTGGGAGGCAGAAAAGAATTATTCATAATGGCCTTCACTTCATCTGACAACTAGTCTCTACTCCTTTGCTAGCTAACTAAATGAACAGGCAGCATGACATGTGGTAGTGGGGATCATAAATGTGGAGATAAAGACCGGCGTTTGTGTTCACAAAGACAGCTCCAATGAATGAAAACTTCCAAATTTCATTTCTGCAAGGGAAAACGTATGGAGTGTCCTTTCAAAAGGCCAGTATTAAGGAAAGTAGGAGCAAGGAAAGAAGAAGGTTTAGACTTAGAGTGACTCTTAGGTTCCAAAGAAAGTTATGTTCATCAGCTACGAACTAATCCTTTTAAGATGTCCCCTTAAAATGTGAACGTAGAAAGCGGTGCTTACAAGGATCACTTGTCCTATTTTATCCCTTTGTGACAAATAATGGGGGTGGGGGGAAGTGTGTCTGATTACAACTCAGTTTGCTGAACAACCTTTCCAAAATGAGAAGAGTTACACACTGCATTCATTATATAAGCCCTGGATGCGACCCACGCCAGCGCGGGCTGTGTAGGTAACTCACACTTGGCTAAACGCATCGAAGTTCCAGCCTAACTTCACCCCTTCCCTTGCAGCTGGGGGTGGCTCTGCGCCCCTACCCGTGCCCTCAGCGCCTCCTTCCTGCACGCAGCTCACTCCCAAGGACTCAAGCACCCGCACACGCCTCGGCCCCGCGGGGCCCACGGGCACAGCCTGGCCCTCGGGCCATCACGCCGCCCGCCGCCCCACGTTTACCTCCCACGCAGGCAGGATGCCGGCCGCCTCGGGTTCCGCAGCTGCCATCGGTCTCCGCCTGTCTCCCTTTCAGGCTCAGCAGATTGGGGCCCTCTGTGTTTTCAACAGGTACCATGGTCACGCAGGAGTTACAGCCTCTCCCCGGTCACCAAACCACCCCGATCGCCCCCACGGACAGCACTGGTCACTTTCTCCATGGTACCACGCGAAGAAGATTGGAGGGAAACGGGGTGGGGGGGGCGGGGAAAAAAGAGAAAAAAAAAAACTTCGGGCAAAGCCCTGTGATTTGTGATCAACTTTGTTTCTATTTCCGAAGGCTTTGCCCTCTTCGGTGACACAGGCTGTTGCTATTCCAAGCAGCCTATCACAGGCGAGGGGAGGGACGGGTCTCCAGATTTGTTTTTGCCTTCGATGCAGAGTTGGAAGCAAGAGGTTAAAAGACTTGGAAGCAGGACCAGACGACAGTCTCCTTTCAGAGTCTGGCCAGGAGCTGGGGCTGGTCCTGGAGTTCCTACTGCACACACGCAAACGCGCTCTCTCTCTCTCTCTCTCTCTCTCTCTCTCTCTCTCTCTCTCTCTCTCTCTCTCTCTCTCTCACACACACACACACACACACACACACACGACTTACATGCAAGCCGAAAGTGCAGATGGAGAATACTCACAGATGGTATCGGTTGATCTTGAAGAACAGCAATTAAGGCAAAGGTGTACCAGAAAGACAAGCGTGTTGATTTTTGTTGTTGTTTTGATAGCAAGACTGTTATTTCAAAAGTCATGACACCAGTTTAACCAGATTTTTTGGTCAGTGGTAAATGCTTTACATACTTCTCTATCCACGGCCTGTCAGATAAATCCAGGCCTGCAATCAACTTTGTAGCAACATAGTCAGCTTTTTTTTTTTTTTTCAATGCATGATTGACTTTAAGCGAGAAGCTAAGTAACCTTGCCTCTTCCATGAGGGTGCAAGCTTGCCTGGGTGGGAGAAGGAGATGGGGGTGGGGAGAGTAGAATTAGGGAATGGGTCAGTACTTAGTGCCTCAGCATTTGCTACTTTTCATCATTCAGAACTTGTAACTAAAACATTTACACTGATTTTGAATGAAAGTAAAGACAGATCTCAAATGAGAAAAGAGAAAGAGAGGGCTGCATGACCTGTTGCATGGGTATGGTGATCATATAATATGAAACAAATTGAGATGTGAGAGGGACTGTTATGTTGACATGTGACTACCATTATATATATATATATATATATATATATATATATATATATATGCAGTCCTATAGAATTACCACATACTTTTAGTAGTATATATGCCTCAAAACCCCTTATAGACAAAACTGGGATCATCCATTGGACTGAAACTAAAATTTACAAAGTACTTATGTGTCAGAAATTATGATAAGTTCATTAACTTGAATGGTTCTTTTGAAAAAATATTGAGATAAATGCTGATTTTTCAGAAGAAAGTGATGGAGGCTGAGGAACTTGCCTGAATTCTCAAGGATAGTCCAAAGCAGATCTGGGATTAAGAAGCTGGAAACCAATGCCATAATTTTCCTATAGCCTAACTTCCCAGCCTTGGCTTCGCTTCCTTCTGAATAAAAATAAATGTTTTCAGTTTATTTGTTTTTGCTTTTCTTTTTCTTGTTGTGCTGATCTTTGGGCTTGAACACAGGGCCTAGGTGCTGTCCCTGAGCTTTTGTGCTTAAGGCTAGAGCTCTACCACTTGAGCCAACAGCAGCCTTTCTGGTGGTTAATTGGAAATAAGAATCTCAAGAACTTTCTTTCCTGGATTGGCTTTGAGCAGAGATCCTCAGGTCTCAACCTCTTGAGTAGTTAGGGTGATTCTTATGTATCCTAGGACAACCTCCAACTTGCTCTGTAGCCCAGTCTGGTCATGAACTTATGATCTTCCCACATCAGCCTAGAGTTACAGGTATGCACTTTCATATCTAGCTTTTAGCTTTTCTTAACCTTGAAATGGTACTATAAATGCAGCTTTTAATCCTATTCATTCATCTGGACAGGGAAGCAGGTTTCACATATTGTACATTTCCTTACTCATCAGTAGATATTTCCTATCTTTCAAGGAGTCAGGTAGCACTGGGACGTAAACCTGTAATAATTCCACTAGTATTATGTCCCTATTTGTGTGTCTGCTGATGGAGCTGGAAAATGGAAGCCTTACCACCATAGCACAGCCCACTGTGAATAAGGGTGTAGAAGTTCAACTTCCAGATCAGCTTGTCCCCACTACAGAATGAGTAGTGCAAAATGGCTTAGAGGACTGTTTTTATTTGCTCCCAAGGTGTGCTATAAAAGTGTGGGTACTGAAGTCCTTGCCTGTGACAAACACACATATTTCTCAAGTTTTCTTGGCTCCTATCTTCTTTCTGCTCTGAATCACTAGGAATGAAGCAATGTTGCTAACATGGGTGAGTTCTATAATTAATTTGTTTTGTGCCCCTCAAGACCTGTGTCAGCAGGAAGTGTTAGGCCGTGTTTGTTGTAGTGATTTGAGTAGACATAAGACAAATCCAATTCTGGAATACTTTCAGATGGTTAACAGCAATTCTAAGTTTGCTTTCTGTAGCTAGAGTATATAGGGACTCCACAGGCATCAACGAGAAGTGAGAAGGAATGAGGAAACAACATGACTCACCACCTTGCCAACTACTGTACCTACTTCTGTTCTTTGTCCCATTGTGAGGCTGACAAGAGCCACTGACCAAATCGGGCTCCATCCTGTGCCCACTTCATGCTGTTGCATCAAAGAAAAATTCAGAGAGGCACATTTCTTTTGCTCAGGCATGAAGGTGACATTTTTCTTTATAAGCTCCCTTAAGAATACTCTAATTCTCTTTCTCAGTATATTCCTCACATATTTCAATAAATGTAGTTATGATTTGATTTTACTAGATCAGAAGCCCCATAAATTGTGGACTATCTCTGTGTGGTTTACTCTGGCAATTGAAGTACCTGGCACAGAATAAATACTCAGTAAATATTGCTGGCTCTCTTGAAGCTTGAACCATGCTACTTCAATAGTATGGCAGTTTGAAAATAAATAAATAATAGTATGGCAGTTTGGCATGCTGGGATGAGCTGAAGGATATTGAAAGAACCTCAGAAGCAAAGTTACTCTGATGGTCTTCTGCCCTTCTGTTTCCCATATCTCTTCCTGTCTCCCATGTCTCTTGGTCACCTGTCTCCCAAAGCAAGTGGTAAAAAAACAGAATTCCTGCTGCCTAGGAATTCTATGACCCTGTGAGTCATAGAAAATACAACTACTCCAAGCCAGAAAATCTAGAAAGGCCTTTCTCTTTCCCGTTTCCCCTAGAGAGGGCTCCTACTGCATATTCAGGAGGAAGGAATGTTTCACCGAGTCCACGAAGAATGGGAACGCCCAGGCCTTGCTGATTTTTCTACTCAATGTAAAACATCCTTTCATTCATTTACATTTCTAAGCTGGGCACCGGTGGCTCATGCCTGTAATCCTAACTACTCAGGAGGCTGAGATCTGGGGGTTGTGGTTCAAAGCCAGCCTGGGCAGGAAATTCCATGAGACTCTTATCTCCAATAAACTGCTAGAAAACCAGAAGTGGCGCTGTGGCTCAAGTGGTAGAGTACTCACCTTGAGCTGAAGAGCACAAGGACAGCACCCAAGCCCAGAGTTCAAGCCCCACGACCGACAGAAAAAAAAAATCATTTACATTCCTATATAAACTGTTTACTCTTTATCAAACCTAAGCCTAAAAATGGACAATTTTCCTTGACACCTTTGACCTTCATTTCCGAAATCTCTTGTGTCACACAAAACTTTGGTTAAATGAATGTGTAATTTTTTTTTCAATAGCCTGGTTTTGATTGTGCTGACCATGACCCTTAGGATGGATGAGTAATAAAGAAGGATATCATATATTAACATGCCTATAGCTAACGGAGTCCTGTAAACCCAACAGATCTTGTTCTTTACTAGAACATGAGCTCCAGAAAGACAGGCAGCTAGGTCTGTACATTCATTTCACTTTGTATCCCCTGCTCCAGACAAAATCAGGGAAACAGTACATACTCAATGTTCTTTGGTTTTTTTTTTTCAAGTAAAAGTGCCCAGAAGTAGAGCTTTTAGTGAGTCATATAATAAGTTTTTAAAATATCAACATCCAAATGATGATTGCCTGTGACCATTTTCTTTGTCCCTTCTCTCTCCTTTCTGCCAATCCTTTTGGAGTAAGTACTGCCCCAGCATGTCTTTCTTCCCTGGGGTCTGACCCTCACCATCACTGGAAGCTATTCCTCCACTCAAGGACTATATAATCACCACTAGCAGAGAGTTCATTTCTTCATCACCCCAATAACCTTTCTTTCTTTCTTTCTTTTCTTTTTTTGTTGGTCGTGGGGCTTGAACTCTGGGCTTGAGCACTGTCCCTCAGCTCTTCAGCTCAAGGAGAGCACTCTACTGCTTGAGCCACAGCACCACTTCCGGTTTTCTAGCGGTTTATTGGAGATAAAAGTCTCATGGAATTTCCTGCCCGGGCTGGCTTTGAACCATGATCCTCAGATCTCAGCCTCCTGAGTAGCTAGGATTACAGGCGTGAGCCACTGGCGCCCGGCTCCCATAACCTTTCAACATACCAATTTAGACCATATCTCACTGGCAATACAGCCAAATCCCAAAGCATTTACGGTGATTATAAACTGACAAAACATTGAATCAAAAGCTATATTTTGTGAGGTAAATACTGTTGTCTCCATCCTTCAGAAATCATAGCTAGGAAGTTTATAAAAATAGGCCCAAGATCAAAAAGACATTTTCCAATGTTTGATAATAATAATTTTGAGGGCTGGGGAGGTGGCTCAGTGGTGGAGCGCTTGCCTTGCATGCCTGAAGCCCTGGGTTCGATTCCTCAGCACCACATAAGCAAAAAGAAAAAAAAAAGCTGGAAGTGGCGCTGTGGCTCAAGTGGTAGAGCGCTAGCCTTGAGCTGAAGAGCTGAGGGACAGCGCCCAGGCCCAGAGTTCAGGCCCCACAACCGGACCCCCCCAAAAAAATAATAATTTTGAACCAAAGGAACAAATCTGCATTCTATAACCACATTTTAACATGCTGTCCATTCATCCGTCACCCAATTTTTCAATGTGTCCATT